TCAGAATTGATTTCAAATGCTTTTTCAAAAGTTTTAATTAGTTTTAGGAACTTTTATTGTAGTTTTCTATGTTTGTAGTTTTAAGGTTCTTTTCAGGAAATTTAGAGAAAAACATGAGAAATCCATATTTTTAGCTCAGAATCAGACCATCAGAAGTGTTGCCTCAAATGAAGACCTTCTCACTGTCTGATCCAGCTCAAATTTGGAGACATTCAAGAGGAACCAACATTAACATCCTGAAAAAACGCCTTGCTCTAGGCTTCGTTCCAATAGAACACCGCGGCGACATCACCTTCTTTTCATGGTTCGGTACAGCTCGATCACAAGAAGGATGATGTTTGCTGTACTACGGCTTGGCATAAATGCAGAAGAGTGGGTTGGTCATCCTCGGCTTGGAGAGACAAAAAAAATCTGACAGCTAACCTTAGTCTGACAATTTTGACCTCGTCATCTTCGCCCCCGAAGCTGACGAGCTGGGGGGTTAACTGTTGGGGTTAGATTTCACCCCGAAAAGTTTAGCTGTCCAAAAAATGACTAAGTATAAAATGAAGGATACTAGATCCATGTCCACTAAACAGACCCGAGCTGTGACATAAGTTGAGCCGAGCCGCGCTGCGATAACAAGCCCAACCAGGACAAGTCGCACCACGACAATGGGCTCAGTTGGGCCGATCCACACCGCGACAACGGGCTCGGTTGGGCCGAGCCGTGCAGCAGCGTTATGATAAGCCGTGCTTTTCCTTGCTGCGGTAGTGGGCCGAGCTGAGTAAGGAGAAACAATTGGGCCGAGCTGCGAGAGAGAGCAAGTGGGCCGAGCCCTGCGCTGAAGTATAGTTTGGCCGAACCGTGAGAATGCGCAAGTGGGCCGAGCTGAAAAAAGAAATGAAGGGTGAGCCACATTGTAAGACGTTTGGGCCGAGCCGAATGATGTTCCACGTTTAGCAGGCCTAGCCGCGGAGGATAAAGCCCATGCAACTCCCTAAGCGAGATGTTGAGGCGGCGGCCGCGCGAGGCAATAAAGAAATATTCTAAAAATATTCCCGAGATTCTTGGCTAGGTGGTTCATAGACTGTATAAATAGTCGACGCAGAAAATTCATTATGTAACTTTTGCAATCCTAAGCAATAAGACTAAACACTTTTCAAAGCAATAAAAACATTCTTTCGATCTTACTGTTCTTGCGATAAACCCTAGAAATTTTGGATCCTTTAGGTTTTCCTTAACAAGTTTTTGGTTGCGTGAGTTTTGACTCACACAGAGATTCGACGGCACTGCCTCTATTGCATGGATCCAAGGTCTCTCCAGCAAGGCGTTGTAACGTGAAAGGCAATCTACCACCGTGAACGTCGTTTCTTTGGTTACTCCGTCCGCAGATACGGGCAGCATGACATATCACCCAGCAACCTAATAGAATCGCTGTTGAATCCTACCAGTGTAGTGACTCTAGGGACCATCCTCTCTGGTGTGAGGTCCATCCCCTTGTACGCCAGATAGAATAACAAGTTAACTGAACTTCCGTTATCAATCAGGATTCCTTTTACCAAATACTCTGAGATGTGCAGAGTCACCATTAATGCTTCGTTTGGTGGATCAAAACCGTTCTCCTATCGCAGCATCAAAGATGATCGGTTGCCCTCGGGGCAGCATCAGAGACAAACACTCGATGCCACCTGATTCCCCTTTTATGGAGGCGACCGTTCCAACGTCATCCCTTTCCTTGACTGTGATGAAGCTGATCACCAACTTATGTTCGGGCGGGGTGGTTTTACTCATCTCCTTGCCCCCAGACACCTAGGGTCCAGCTGATCTCTCCATGTTTTTCTGTGCTTTTTCCGAAAGAAACTGCTTCAAATAGCCCTTCTCAAGAATGGCATATACTTCCATTGTGAGGGCGACACATTTTTCTGTCTGGTGTCCTTCCCTTTGGTAAAACTCGCACCATTTCTCATTTCCCTACGGTATTTCGTCTTGCCTCCTGCTCTATAGCCACTGGATTTTGGCCTCCTAGTCCTTGAGATTTTAGACCAGCATGGTTCCAGGATATCCACTCCCATTTCCGCCAACGTCGGGGGTTCTGGACCCCTTTCTTCTCGGTCACTCTGGTAGTCCTCCGTCTGGTGGACCATTCCATACCTATTCCCTCCGGTACTTCTTCTGCTGTCCTCTCTACCGTGATCCTTGTAGTCCTGGTCTCCAGTTTGCCTGGAGTCCCCTCTCCTTTCGCCCTTTTTGTTGTGGGTCGTTTCTTCTCGGTCGTGTTTCCTGATTCACACTGGATGTACTCCTAGTTTCTACTGCAATAGAACAGTGATGTAGTTGTAATATAAAGGATTCGGAATCCAGAGGACCAGTGTTACTCTGTGAATTTGTGAGGATTGAATTAAAGCTAAGACGAAAGATGGTTTGTTTCGAAAACTAAAAAGTAAACAGAATGGCAAACAACGATTTAAATTCAAATTAAAACAAGCACTAGACCAAAGCAATTCGCAGGAATTTCAGAGATAAGAACCAGATGACTATTCAGGGCACAAGTGTAACGCGAGTCTCGAACTCAAACAGAAAAGCTTATCGATCCACTGTCGTGATCTCGATAACTTTGTCTAACAACCTAAATCCTAAACTGTCGTTTGAACCTAGAAAATTGCAGACAAGCATTAGCTAGCAGGTGTGATCTGTTCACGATTTGCCTTAACTTCAACTGTCGTTGGCTAAGGACAAATCGCTCACCAATGTTTATTCTAGCAACCTATTACACTTTTGATGAACAGATTAACCTAAAATCGCAGATTGAGTGATCAATTCAACCTAAGCATTAAGTCTAACAATGGTGAAGACAATAGATATCAAGCCCTATTTGCATCTAATCCTCTAACTCATGAAATCCTTTGAACGCTTTAATCTAGCTAAGAGATCTACTCAGACATGGAGAAAAGAAACACAGAAACAGATGGAAAGGAATTCATGAATTAAAATCGCAGAAGAGATAATAGGGTTCAGAATTCTTCTCAAAGTGTAGCAGATTTCTTCTCCCAAAAGCTTACAAGTAAAAACTCTATGGTCCAGGAAATTGTAAAAAAGAAAGCGTAAAAAGTCTGTAGAAAAACGTGATAATAAAACACAGGCGGCTGTGGGCTTTTTATTCTCTTTCTCCTCCCAAAATTAGGTAAAAGTCGATTTCCTTATTTTTCTCCCGTCTGGAGCAGGTGCTCTACGAAGGGTCCAAACCGGGAGCAGGTGCTCCGCGGATGATTTCTCCAAAAACGTGTGAAATAGCTCCTTATTGCTCAAATTCATCTCCTTTTGCTCCAATGCCTCCTAAACACTCCAATCCTTTGATAAGGCCTCTAAGTCACCTGAAACTTCCTGAAAAGACTCCAAAAACTCCTAAAACAATTAGTAAACACAAGTTAGAATGAGTCAAAATCTCCACTCATCAACTCCCCCGAACTTGAATCCTTGTTTGTCCTCAAACAAACTCAAATTCAACTCCAAAAGAATGACTGGATAAAGCTGGGAACTCGCAAAACTCAAAAGATCGTAAACCTGACCAAGACATGTGACAATCTGCTGCAAAATCAATCAAAAATCTAACGTCCATGTACTTCTCCGTAGACGCTGCAGCTTTCCAGATTAGTCCCTCAATTTCATAACATCATCCATGTCCCATCATCGCTGAGTCTCATCGATAAAACCAGTGCTAAGGACCTTCTAGACTCGTTCCCATACCTATACCTGAACAAATTGACCATACTACACAAAATTACCTTTTCTCTCCCCCGAACTTATTCACTTTTCAAGCTGTTTCGTTTTTTTTTTTTTTTTTTTTTGGCACATATAACAAGGTTCAAAGACGCGAGTATTGATGGTGATTGCCACCGAATCCCCGGTTTGTCCCCTCATCATATATCAAAGGTGTAGGCGAATAATGGGGTCACAGGAAATTTTCCTACCCCTCGCTTCCATCCCTTGTGTGATCATTCCACTTTAGAAGTAAAATAATGGGATCCTTGGAAATTTTCCTAACCCTTTACTTCTAAAAGAAAATCATTTCAATCTTTTCTGCCTTTTGATCATTTTTTTTTTTTTAGAAACAGCCTGAAACAATGCTTAGAACATGAGAGAGGAATACCAAATCTATCACACAGGTCTTTATTTGTCAGGTAAGAATGAGGAGTCAAGCCCTATGAGCACTAACCTGATCGATGAGGAAAATGAAGAGCTGAGAAATTAGCTCAGGTTCAATGGATTAGTCAAGAATTTTGGGCTCCTCTAGTCTACTGCTTTGTCTTTGTATTTTTCATTAGTCGATCTGGATGATTCTGCAGCAATAATCACTAGAAGAAGATGGTCAAGATTCACAAATGGTCTGAAATCATCATAGAATTGGTCCTAATTCCCACAAGCTTTGACTTGACTCATATAACCAACTGACTCAAAGAAACTAAATGACTCAAACAAACAAACTAAAAACTGACTCAAAGAAAGTACTAAAAGGAAGAAAGCAAAAGAAAGAAGTACAAGGGTCATGATCCTCCCCCGAACATACTTCACACCGTCCCCGGTGTGAAAATAAGCTAGAGAAGTGCCCAGAAAACTTACCTGGTAGTGCCAAACACCCTGGCAGAGCAGGTGCTCCAAACTAGAGCAGGGTGCTCGTTCGTCGCATTGTCCGTGGTGAGCACCCCTTGGAGCAGGTGCTCCGGTGGGGGCTGTGGTGCTCTTTCGTCAAATTCTACGTGGTGAGCAACCAACCTAGCAGATGGAGCAGGTGCTCCGGTGGGTTGCTCCCTCCTTCTTCTTCTTTTCACCTCCATCGCTGAAAAACTTCTTACCTGTTTTTTTTTTTTTTTTTTTTTTTTTTTTTTTTTTTTTGAAAACAAAGAACCTAAAAACAAAGTTAGTAGCTAAGAATTGAAAGACACAAAGTTAGAGACTCTTACCGGTGGGTTGCCTCCCACCAAGCGCTTGTTTTAAGTCATTAGCTTGACTTGGAAAGCCATTTAGGCTTGAGGAGGATCGCTTAAGGTGACTGATTCACCCTCTGCGATATTTGGACCAGCAAGGTATGGTTTCAACCTCTGTCCATTGACAACAAACTCGCCTCCTTTAGTGTCCAGCAACACTACAGCTCCATATGGTCGAACCTCCTTGATGGTGAATGGTCCAGACCATCTCGATCTCAGCTTCCCTGGAAACAATTTCAATCTAGAGTTAAACAGCAATACCTGATCGTTTGGTGCAAAGCTTCTGTTGAGGATCCTCTTGTCATGAAAAGCTTTTGTCCTCTCTTTGTAAATCTTCGAGTTTTCATAGGCCAGGTGCCTAATTTCCTCCAGCTCATGTAACTGCATTACTCTCCTCTCCTGAGCACTCTTTGCATCGAAATTCAGCAGCTTCACTGCCCAAGCAGCTTTGTACTCAAGTTCCACTGGAAGATGACATGCTTTTCCATACACCAAGTGGAATGGTGTAGTCCCCAAAGGTGTTTTGTAAGCTGTTCTGTATGCCCAAAGAGCATCATCAAGCTTCACTGCACAATCCTTCCTTGTGGTGCTCACAGTCTTCTGCAGAATGTTCTTGATTTCCCTGTTGGAAACCTCAACTTGCCCACTCGTCTGAAGATGGTATGGGGTCGCCACCTTATCCCTTACACCATTCTTCTTCAACAAGTTTTCAAAGACTGTGTTGATGAAGTGAGAGCCTCCATCGCTAATCACCACTCGCGGCACACCAAACCTGGGAAAAATGACAGATTTGAACATCTTTAAAACCACCTTTGCGTCATTTGTGGGACTAGCCAGAGCTTCCACCCACTTTGACACATAGTCAACTGCCACCAGAATATACTCATTCCCACAAGATGATGGAAAAGGTCCCATGAAGTCTATACCCCACACATCAAAAATCTCTACTTCCAAGATGAAATTCTGAGGCATCTCATTCCTCCTCTGATGTTCCCTTGTCTCTGACATGTGTCACACCTGGAGATAAAACTCGCTGCATCTCGGAACATCGTTGGCCACCAATACCCAGCTTGGAGAATTTTCGACACAGTCTTGAAAGTGGCGAAGTGACCTGCATAAGAGGATCCATGGCAATGAAACAACACTCCTGGTATCTCCTCGTCAGCTACACATCTTCTGAAAATTCCATCAGAGCAATGCCTGTATAAATAAGGCTCATCCCAAAAGTAATGCCTCACATCCTTCAGAAACTTCTTCTTTTTGTTTCCCACAAAACCTGCAGGTTCCTGCTCTGCAGCAAGGTAATTTGCAATCTCTCCAAACCATGGGAAACCAGAATGCCGATCTATGTCAACTTGGTTGCAAAAACTCGTCAGAGCAGGTGCTCCGGTGGGGAGCAGGTGCTCGTCGAACCCAGAAACATCTATGGCGTAAACTTGTTCATCAGGAAGGCTGTCATTTAGTGGAATGTCATCATCTATCCTCAGCCTCGACAAGTGGTCTGCAACACCATTATCAATCCCTTTTTTGTCTTTAATCTCCAAATCAAACTCCTGCAGCAAAAGGATCCATCGAAGGAGCCTTGGCTTGGCATCCTTCTTCGTCAACAGGTATTTCAGAGCTGCATGGTCTGTGTGAACAACAACTTTCGACCCAACAAGGTAGGACCTGAACTTCTCAAAAGCATAAACCACTGCAAGAAGCTCCTTTTCAGTTGTGGCATATCTGCACTAAGCCTCGTCGAGTGTTCGGCTAGCATAATAGATGACGTGGAGCCTCTTTTCTTTCCTCTGTCCCAGCACTGCTCCCACTGCATAATCACTAGCATCGGTCATGACCTCAAAAGGTAGTTCCCAATCTGGTGGCTGGACAATAGGAGCGCTGACCAAAGCTCCTTTTATCCTGTGAAATGCCTCCAAACATGCATCATCAAACTCGAATTTCACATCCTTGCACAGCAGCTGCGTCAGGGGTCTGGCAATCTTCGAGAAATCTTTGATGAAGCGTCTGTAAAAACCTGCATGGCCCAGAAAACTGCGAACCCCCTTGACTGATGTTGGTGGCTGCAGGCTCATCATCACCTCGATCTTTGCCCTGTCCACCTCGATCCCTTTCTCTGAGATTTTGTGTCCCAGCACGATCCCATCTCTCACCATGAAATGGCATTTCTCCCAGTTAAGCACCAGATGCTTCTCCTCACACCGCTGCAAAACCCTGCACAGATTAGACAAACAGACAGAAAAGGAGCTTCCATAGACAGAAAAATCGTCCATGAAAACTTCCATTATGTCTTCAATCAGGTCAGTGAAAATCGACATCATGCAGCGTTGGAATGTTGCTGGAGCATTACACAAGCCAAATGGCATTCTGCGATATGCAAAGGTGCCATAAGGACATGTGAATGTCGTCTTCTCCTGGTCATCCGGGTGGATTGGGATCTGAAAGAAACCTGAATAACCATCTAAGAAACAGTAATAAGGATGGTTAGCCAAGCGTTCAAGCATCTGATCGATAAATGGTAAAGGAAAATGATCTTTGCGAGTTGCAGCATTCAATTTCCTGTAATCTATGCACATTCGATGCCCAGTAACAGTTCTAGTTGGTATCAATTCATTCCTATCATTTTTTATCACAGTGATGCCACCTTTCTTAGGAACTACATGAACCGAACTAACCCAATTACTATCTGAAATTGCATAGATCACACCAGCTTCTAGAAGTTTCATTATCTCTTTCTTTACAACATCTTGTAGATTCGGGTTTAACCTCCTCTGATGTTCTACAGAAGTCATTGATTCATCTTCTAGATGTATTCTATGCATGCAAAGATCAGGAGAAATCCCTGGAATGTCATCTAGTGAATATCCTATAGCTTTCCTATACTTTCTAATTTCACAAAGAAGCAAGGCAATCTCTACATTGTTCAATTCAGAGTTCACTATCACAGGGAATGTCGAATTGGGTCCTAGAAACACGTACCTGAGCCCCACAGGAAGGGGTTTGAGCTCAAGCTTTGGAGCTCTCAATTCGCTCTAAGGTCCATTTATCAAGCCGTCGGGAGCAGGTGCTCCAGGATTCAGAGCAGGTGCTCCGTCGGCTTTTTCTGCAGGTGAGCTCTCCTTGCCTTCTAAGCTCATGTACGCCACCAGCCTTTGCATCCTCGTGCTTGCATTCAGCATTTTTGCAAACCCATCAGCTTCTTCACTTAAATACCCATGTTCTCCTTCAGCTTTGGTGAGTGCAACTTCGAGAGGATCGATGGCCAAAACCTCTTCAGCAACCTCTTCAGCAATGCCTGAACCATCATCTATGACAAATGTCTGTCCGTCCAGCATTGGTTTCTTGAAGAGTTTATTCATCTCAAATCGCACCACCATATCTCCCAGCTGGAGATCTATCACTCCTTCTTTCACATCTATGATTGCACCAGCTGTGCATAAGAAGGATCGACCCAATATCAAAGGATCCTTGGGTTCTTCATCAAGCTCCAGAACCACAAAATCTGCTGGAATGAGTGTATCACCTATCTGAACATGCAGATCCTCAAGTATACCAACAGGGAATTTGGTTGATCTATCAGCAAATACCAGCGAGATTTTCGTCGGTTTGAATCTGGTGTAACCCAATCGCTTGGCTACAGAGTAAGGCATCAGATTCACACTTGAACCTAGATCGCAGAGAGACCTTGCAAAAAGTACATTCCCAATCCTAACTGAGAGAACAAACCTTCCTGGATCACTTCTCTTCTTCAGCACTTTGTTCTGAAGCACAGCACTGCACTCCTTCGAAACCATCATGACACTCTCTTCCTCAACAGCTTTCCCAGACACTAACCCCTTCATGTATCTTTTAAGGGCTGGTATCATCTGAACAGCATCAGCTAGAGGGAGTTTTACAGTCAAATCCTTCAGCATCTCCCTGCACTTTGCATCTTCTAAGTCCTTGCGAGACTTCTTTGGTGGAACTGGGTAAGGTACCTTAGGCGTGTAAACTCTTGCAGGAATGTTTGCTGGGGCAGGTGGCTGGAGCAGGTGCTCCCTCGTTGGCTCAGGGTGCTCCCTCGTCAAATCTACGTCTGGAGCAGGTGCTCCAGATTTTGGAGCAGGTGCTCCGATGGAGGAAGAGTGCTCCTTCGTTTTTTTTACGTCATGAGCTGGTTCCTCTTCTTGGAGCAGGTGCTCCACGTCTTTTTTCTTCCTCTTTTCTGAGACAGAGCTTGTTGGTGCAGCATGTAGAGTCTTCCCACTTTTAAGCTCAATAGCATTCACAAACTCATTCCTGGGATTTTCACCTTTTCCAGGGAGAGTTCCAGGTGATCTCTTCACAGCTTCTGCAGTCTGAGCTACCTGAACATCCAGCTTCTTCACATGAGTCCACACAGCCTCATACTTGCTATTCAAATCATTGTACATGGTGTCCACTTTGGCATTAATCTCCATGGAAGACTTTTGCTGATTAACCAGCAGCTGTTGCATCAAGTTTTTCAGCTCATCCTGCGAGTTATTTGAGGAACTCGAAGAAGGCTGTAGACTTGTGAAAGGCAACTTCTGCTGATTTCCACCTTGAAATCGATTCTGATTGGTGATGAACTGCTTTCCTTGGAAGTTGCTGGAGAAGTTCTTCTGAAATCCTGACTGATTCTGCACTCCTTGCTGCGGATAGACCTGATCCTGAGGGTTCTCAACATTGTTGCTTCTGTAGGATAAATTCGGGTGGCTTCTGAAGTTGTTGAAACTGCGATTCTGCACATACCCTTGTCCATTCACGAAATTTACCTCCATCTGATCATTATTCTCTGCATCTACAAACTCTTGAGCAAGAGGTGCATCACCAACCTCATCAGCAAAATGCACAGATCTCTGGTTCTCTCTCAACAGCAGATTCACCTTTGCTGTAAGCTCATCGATTTTGCTCAACTCCACACTATGAACTGCTTTGCTAGACCTGTCATACTCTTGGGATTTGTTGCTGGAGCTTGCAGCTAAGTTCTCAATCAACTCATAAGCAGCTTCTTTGGACTTAGTCATGAAATCGCCATTGCTAGCTGTATTCAAAGCATTCCTGTAATTCCAGTTGACACCATCATAAAAGGTTGACAGAATCTGCTCATCAGAGAACCCATGGTGAGGGCACTCTCTTCGGTACTCCTTGTACCTCTCCCAAGCTTCACAGAAAGCTTCACCAGGTTGCTGTTTAAACGACGAGATCTTGTTCTTCAGAGCTGCAGTTTTTGCCTTAGTGTAGAAATGGTCCAAAACTGCTGATCTGCACTCTTCCCATGTAGTCAATGACCCAGGTGGTAATGACTTCAGCCAGCGCAAAGCTTTGTCCGCAAGTGAGAACGGAAAAAGCTTGCACTTCAAGAAATCGGCTGGTATCCCATTTGATCCAGTCGTGCTGCAAATCTCCTCAAAATTCTCGATGTGGTCCATCGGAATCTCAGCAGGAAGCCCATGAAAGAGGTGCTGCTTCACCAATGAGATCAGCTGAGGTTTGATCTTAAAGTCTTGCCTCTGAATGGTTGGAGGAGCAATCGCAGCCCTGTTGTGATAGTAGGCGTGCGGACTGTCCTTGTCTCCAATAGCAGGTTGTGGCTGCTCCCTGTCTTGCTGCGCCTTTTGCAGCTGCTCCAATTGTTGTCGAAGCTGTTGAACCTCGACAGCCATGTTGCCATTGTTGCTTTGATCGCCCATGTTGGCTTGAATAGGCCTTTGACGTCTGTTTTCTCGCTCGACTCTTGCTAGATCGGTGTTCGACAAAGAAACAAGATCGGTGCTGTTGCTCCTTGTGGATATGTTTGACATACACCTGAAACACGCGCAAACAAGAGAACAAGAGAGAAAAATTAGTAAAGCCTTAGTCTGAATTTCAAACCAAAAATCAAAGGTAACGAATTGGTCCCCGTCGCAACGGCGCCAAAATTTGATTCACACTGGATGTACTCCTAGTTTCTACTGCAATAGAACAGTGATGTAGTTGTAAAATAAAGGATTCGGAATCCAGAGGACCAGTGTTACTCTGTGAATTTGTGAGGATTGAATTAAAGCTAAGACGAAAGATGGTTTGTTTCGAAAACTAAAAAGTAAACAGAATGGCAAACAACGATTTAAATTCAAATTAAAACAAGCACTAGACCAAAGCAATTCGCAGGAATTTCAGAGATAATAACCAGATGACTATTCAGGGCACAAGTGTAACGCGAGTCTCGAACTCAAACAGAAAAGCTTATCGATCCACTGTCGTGATCTCGATAACTTTGTCTAACAACCTAAATCCTAAACTGTCGTTTGAACCTAGAAAATTGCAGACAAGCATTAGCTAGCAGGTGTGATCTGTTCACGATTTGCCTTAACTTCAACTGTCGTTGGCTAAGGACAAATCGCTCACCAATGTTTATTCTAGCAACCTATTACACTTTTGATGAACAGATTAACCTAAAATCGCAGATTGAGTGATCAATTCAACCTAAGCATTAAGTCTAACAATGGTGAAGACAATAGATATCAAGCCCTATTTGCATCTAATCCTCTAACTCATGAAATCCTTTGAACGCTTTAATCTAGCTAAGAGATCTACTCAGACATGGAGAAAAGAAACACAGAAACAGATGGAAAGGAATTCATGAATTAAAATCACAGAAGAGATAATAGGGTTCAGAATTCTTCTCAAAGTGTAGTAGATTTCTTCTCCCAAAAGCTTACAAGTAAAAACTCTATGGTCCAG